GCCTAATGTGTCATCTCTTTTGTGCACACCTCCTCTGACTATCTTCTCTTCCTCTCCTCTCCCCACCTTCTCTCTCTGACCCTATAGCACCTGGTACCTGCATCTCCATCATAGCCCTAGTTGCACTGCACAGTCACTGCCCGCATGTCCAACTTCCCTAGCCGGTGAGGACAGGGGCTGTGTTTAATCATCCTTGTGTCTTCAGTGCATAGCCCTGCTTCTGGCACGTTCTTCTCAACAGTGTGGAATGAATGCATGAATGAGCTGTGTGACCAGTTTCCTGCCACTGTGATGCAGTTTCCCAAGTCTCCCAGCCACACTCTGAACCCTTCCCAGCATCGGCTCCCGCACCACTCACCAGGCGGTCCCGAGTGAAGTGGAGGAGGTTGAGGCAGTTCATGCGGAAGCTGACGTCCTCCCAGTTGGAGGTCACGGCCACGACAGGCTTGATGTTGTACCAGGGCACATAATGGTAGATGTTCCCTGAGACACAGAGACACATGGAGGGATGGGGTGTCTGGGGGATTCTGGGAGGTCTCTTCTCACTGTGTTCTCTCGAGGACCTCTCTGGACCACTTCACCCTCAAAGATGCGATTTGCTAACAATGCTAACTGGAGCCCTCCAGCTGGGAGGCTGGGCTGGGGCCTAACAGAATGTGAGAATGTGTGCACTTTGACCTTTCATTGTCACATGATCTTCCGGAGTCCCCAGTTTACAGTGGGGAAATCCATGCTAGCAATGGGAAGCAGTTTCCCTGAGGTGGCATAGCCAGGTGGTCAAAGTGCAGGCGCCTAGCTCCAGAGCCCTGGGTTTTGAACCTCAAGCGAGACGCCAGGAGTAAGGGCACGGGGCACGACTCCGGGTGGGACGGGGGCAGGGGGACACGTATAGATAAACACCACTGATGGGTGCCACAAACTGGGTTCCCTCGCCATGTTCCTTGTTGAAATGAGGGGGAAGCAAGACCAAACGTAAAGGATTCTGAACCACACTGCTGCCGAGTCGGCCTCAGAGGCAGAAATCCACAGAAACGAACATGTAACCTGCAGAAAATCTGTGAGGCCAGCGAAAGCCAAAGCTGACTTTTGTTCTCCAAATTTCTGGAAACTTCTTGGAGAACTTGTGCTTTTCTTTGGCAACTGCAGGAGGAACGGGGGGCAGAAGAGAAAGCCTAGGGCTGACCGGGGCGGGCAGTCTAACAGGGACCGACGTGCTACAGACTGGCTGTGCCCCCCACGGAAAGGCGTACTCAAGTCCTAAACCCCAGGACCTCAGAATGTGGCCTTATTTGGAGAAGGGGTGTCTTTGCAGATGTAATGAGTTAGGATGAGCAGGTGGGCCCTTAATGACTGGTGTCTTTATAAGAAGGGAGACAGAGAGACGGCAGTTCAGTGAGGACAGACACAGGGAGACACCGTATGAGGGCGGAGGCAGGGACTGGCAGGACGCAGCTGCCAGCCCGGGAACACCAAGGACCACAGCAGCCGCCACAAGCCAGGAGGGAGCCATGGCCAGATTCTCCCTCAGAGCCGTTGGCAGGGATCAACACTGACACCCTGACTTTGAACTTCTGACCTCCAGACCCGTGAAAGAATGAGTTTCTGTTGTCTAAAACCACCTGGTTTGTAGGGCTTTGTTATGGCAGTAATACACCATGCAGAGCACGAGCTCCAAACCCTAAGCCGTTGGGGCCGGGGGAATGAGAACTGACCCATCACGCGGGAGGGGACAGTGGGGAAGCTTGCCTGTCTCCAGTGTGGCTCTTTGGGTGGAGGGGAAGAAAATCTTCCCCAAAATTTGTAGCAAGTGGGGCCTCACGGACATTGGCATTCAGTGCTCATGTTATCTCTGTAGCCTGAAGAGTGTCCAACAAAAAATTTAATTTAAAGTGGTCTCAAGTAGATTGTTACCAGCCTGGGTAACATAGCGAGACCCTGTCTCTAATTAGCCAACCAGGGTGGCTCACACATGTAGTCCTAGCTACTCAGGAGGCTGGGGTGGGCTTTAGCCCAGGAGTTTGAGGCTATGATGAACCGTGATCATGCCGCGGCACTGCAGCCTGGGTGACTGAGTGAGACTGTGTCTCAACCAATTGATAAAATAAAGTGGTCATAAGTAAATAAAAATACAGTGGTCCCTGCTTGGCAGTGCCCCAGGTAGCTGGAAGAAGCAACGTTAGCCAGACCTCAGAGAACGCCCACAAAGTTCCAAGAAAGTGAGCAGCTGAGAACCAGTGTACACGCTCCTAACCCAGCAACTCCACTGCTAGGTATACACCCAAGAGAAGGGCTGTACAGCATCATTGAGACACACGGAGAATAATGTTCATGGCAGCTCTCATCACAACAGCCAAAAGTTGGAAACAGCCAAAATAGCTCTCAAAAAATCTCTTGGCCAGGCGCAGTGGCTCATGCCTGTAATCCCAGCACTTTGGGAGGCCGAGGCGGGAGGATCACCTGAGGTCTGGAGTTTGAGACCACCCTGCCCAACATGGCGAAACTCTGTCTCTACTAAAAATATGACAAAAAGAATTAGCCTAGTGTGGTGGTGGGCAGCTGTAATCCCAGCTA